ATATTGATGGGCATTGGGGTTGTTTCAATTTTGTCACCTACAAATATGTTGCTGCATGCTTATACCTGTCTCCAGATGTTCATATGCATGCGTTTCTCTAAGGTGTATACCTAGGAGTTGGGTCATAGGGTATGTGTATCTTCTCCTTTGCTAGACACCACACTCTTTTCCATAGTCATTATACCAGTTTACCCTCTTGTCAGCAGTGAGTGAGAAATATCCATTGCCTATATCCTTACCAGCACCTAGTATTATCTGGCTTTTTAATTTTTGGCTTTCTAGTGGGTATGTAGTGGTATATTTTATTGTGCTTTTAATTTGTATTTCCCTGACTATCCATGAGATTAAGCACCTTTTTACGTGCTTATTGGCCATTTGGATTTCTTTTATAAGGCTTTTTCCATTCGGATGTCTGAAGTTTGCCCACCATACCCTGTCCCCCCCCCCCCGATTTGTTAATTCTTTGTGAATTCTGGGTACAAGTCTTTTGTTATTTGTGTTACAAGTATTTTATCTCATTCTATGGCTTACCATTTTACTTAATGTTGCATCTGATGAAAACAAAATGTTAATACATTTATCAATATTTTCTTTTATGGTTAGTGCTTTCTTAGGCCTTTTTAAAAAATAGACTGTAGCCAGGTGTGGTGGCATGCACCTGTAGTTCCAGCTAACTGGGAGGCTGTGGTGGGAGAATCACTTGAGCCCAGGAGTTTGAGTCCAGCCTGGGTTACATAGTGAGACCCCATCTCTTAAAAAAAAAAAAAAAAAAAAGGAATTTTACAAGGAGACTTTATTTTTCAGAGCTGTTTTATGCTCACAGTGAAATCGAGTGGCCAGTACAGAGAGTTCCCATGTTCCTCTATGCACAGCCTCCCCCACTCCCAACATCCCCTCCAGAGTGGTATATTCGTTACAGTCAAAGAACCTACATTGACACATCATTATCACCCGAAGTTCATAGTTTACGTTAGGGTTCACTCTTGGTGTTGCACATTCTATGGGTTTTGACAAATGTGTAATGACATGTATCCATCATTACAGTATCATACAAAGCAATTTCACTGCCCTAAAAATCTGTGCTCTGCCTGTTCATCCCCTGTCCCTCCTAATCCCCGGTAACCACTGATCTTTTTACTGTCTCCACAGTTGTACCTTTTTAGGAATGTCATGTAGTTGGAATCACACAGTGCGCAGCCTTTTCAGTTAGGCAGCTTCCATTTAGTAATATGGATTTAAGGTTCCTCCGTGTCTTTTCATGGACTGATAGCCCTTTTCTTTTTAGAACTGAATAATATTCCATTGTCTGGATGTACCACAGTTTATTCATTCATTCATCTACTGAAGGATGCCTTGGTTGATTACAAGTTTTGGCAATTATGAATAGAGCTCTATAAATATCTGTGTGCAAGTTTTTCTATAGGCACTAGTTTTCAGTTCACTTCGATAAATACCAAGGCGAATGATTGCTGGTAATCTTGCTCCTTGGTATTTATAATTTTGTTATAAACTGCCAAATTGTCCTCCAAAGTGGCTGTACCATTTTCATTCCCACTAGCAATGAGTGAGAATTCCCCTTATTCTACGTCCTTGTCAGCATTTGCTGTTGTCAGTGTGTTAACGGGGGTGGGGGGGTGGGGGAACAAACCCTTGGAGAGGGTGGGAGCAGGGGAGAATTTTTTTTTTTTAAGAGTTCAAACTTTTATTGAACATGTTACAAAAGAGATTTAGTCAAAAAGACCAAAGCCCATGTCATCATCAGACTCCTCAGATTCTTCTTTCTTTGCTTCCACTTTCTTCTCAGCTGGGGCAGCAGCAGTGGAGGGGGCAGGACCTCCTGCTGGTGCAGCACCAGCTGCTGGAGCAGGTCCACCAGCCCCTACATTGCAGATGAGGCTCCCGATGTTGACATTGGCCAGGGCCTTTGCAAACAAGCCAGGCCAGAAAGGTTCGACATTTACACCAGCTGCTTTTATAAGGGCATTGATCTTATCCTCCGTGACGGTCACCTCATCGTCGTGCAGAATGAGTGCCGAGTCGATGCAGGCGAGCTTGGAGACGGAGGCCATGGCGTGGGCGAGTACGGGGCAGGCGCTGCCGGGCGCGGTGCTAGTCGTCGGATGAAGTGAGGGCCTCACCCCAACGCAGCCTTAGCTTCCTCGGAAGGACTGAGCACCTTGGCGGCAGCTGAGGAAAGGGCAGGGGAGAATTTTTTTGAAAACAAAAAAACCCAAACTCTGTCAAAATAATTTAAAGAAGTTTATTCTGAGCTGAGCGTGTGTGATGACAGCTTGGGTAAACGTGCTCAAAAGGTCTTGAGAAAATGCGTGAGGTAGACAGGTTACAGTTTGGTTTTATACATTCAGGAATTACATGTAAAATCATAAATCAACACATGGAAGGTGTATATTGGTTTGGCCTGAAAAGGTGGAACATGGGGGAGGTGCTTACAGATTATAGTAAGTGAGTTTAAAGATTCTTTGATTTGTAATTGGTTAAAGAAATGAAACTTTACCTAAAGGCTGGGAATGTATTTAAGATAAAGAAGTTTGTTAATCAGAGACATTGACGGCCTGCAGGTGTGGTTTAACCTTTGCCTTGCATGGCCTTAGGCGTCTTAATGATTTAGTATCTTATTGTTACAAAGAGTAACTCCAAAAGGGAGGGGATACGACCAGGTATGTCTGACCTCCCTTCTCCTCATGGCCAGCAACTCGGCTTTAAAGTTTTTCTGGGGTCCCCTTGGCCAAGAAGGGGTCCTTTCAGTTGGCTGGGGGACTTAAGATTTTATTTTAATTCACGGTTGTTTTGGATTTTGGCCATTCTAATAGGTGTGTAGTGGTGCTCATTATTGTTTTAATTTGCAATTCCCTAATAACATGATGTTGAGCATATTTTCATATGATTATTTGCTATCTATATATCTTCTCTGGTGAGGTGTTTGTTCATATCTTTTGCCCATTTTTTAATTAGTTGTTTTCTTACTGTTGGATTTTAAGAGTTCTTTGTATATTTTGGATAACAGACCTTTATCATATATGCCTTTTGCAAATATTTTTTCCCAGTCTGTGGCTCATCTTCTTGTTCTCTTGACAGTGTCTTTTGCAGAGCAGACATTTTAAATTTTAACAAAGTCCACCTTATCAATTATTTTTTTTCCACAGATCATACCTTTGGTGTGTATCCAAAAAGTCATTGCCAACCCCAAGGTCATCTAGACTGTCTCCTATGTTATCTTCTAGGAGTTTTGTTGATTTGCATTTTACATTTAGGTCTATGTTCCCTTCTGAGTTAATTTTTGTGAAGGGTATAAAGTCTGTGCCTAGATTATTTTTGTTTGCATGCAAATGTCCAGTTTTTCTAGCACCATTTGTTAAAGAGACTATCTTTTCTTCATTGTATTGCCTTTGCTCCTTTGTCAAAGATCAGTTGACTGTATTTGTGTAGGTATATTTCTGGGCTCTCTAGCCTGTTCCATTGATCTATTTGTCTATTCTTTTGTCAATACCACACTGTCTAGGTTACAGTTACTTTACAGTTGGGTAAAGTTACTTGCTTGAAGTTGGGTAGTGTCAGTCTTCTGACTTCTTTCTTTTCCTGCAATATGGATTTGGCTGTTCTGGGTTTGTTTTTTTTTTTGCCTCTCCATACTTCATGTATTTTTAAATTTTTGTTTGTGAATTCATCTTTCCGTGGGAATTATGAAAGTGTCCCTACAGAAAGATTTTGTGATTGTTCCTAACAAAGCTCCTCAAATTTCAATGGTACTAAACCAGTTTCTATACACAAAACAGGCCTGGTTTGTTTCTTGTGGGTGACTTTTTTTTTTTTTTTTTAACTTTCTACCTCGGACTGGTGGGTAGAAAGAAATAGTTCGGTCCTTTTCATAAATAGGTCAGAGATCTTTTAGGTTTTAGGATTTATGCCTAAGGCTCAGTTCCTCTTCCATGTTCCCCCCAACTTTAAAGAACATCAACACTTTGTCTTCTGTCCTAGCATGGGCATTAGAACCTCAGATCTTAGGTTCTGGGGTCTGAGTTTGGGTCTAAATTTCAGTGGAGTATTTAGCTTTGATTTCAACTTTGGCTTTAATTTCCCCCCTCCCTCCCCTTTTAGACCTCATAGATGTCAATGGAGAAGAACCCAAACTCTGTAAAATAATTTAAAGAGGTTTATTCTGGGCCAAATATGTGCGACCATTGCCCAGAGAGACATGCCCAAGAAGCCTTGAGCAAGTGGTCTCACCGTGGTTGGATTAGTTTGGTTTTATACATTTCAGAGAGACAGAAAGTACATGCAAAGTCATAAATCAATACATGGGAGGTGTACATTGGTTTGGCCTGAAAAGGCAGGACATCCCAAAGCAGGGCATTACAGGTTATAGGTGGGTTTAAAGGTTCTCTGATTTGTAATTTGTTAAAGAAATAAAGTTTCCTCTAAAGGCTTGGACCATTTTAAGATAAGGAAGTCTGTTAATCAGAGATAAGCCACTGGACATATACCCAAACTCAACTAATCTGTTAGGTAAATTGATAACCTACCCGCAGGTGTGGTTTGTCTTATATAGCCTTAGGCCTGTTAATGAATTATAAAGGATATCTCCAAGAAGGGAAGGGGGCATGACAAGGCATGTCTGACCTCCCTTCTTATGGCCAGCAACTCAGCTTTAGGGTATTTCTGGGGTCCCCTTGGCCAAGAGGGGGGTCTGTTCAATCAGTTGGGGGGACTTAAGGTTTTATTTTAGTTCAGATAGAAAACTCCTCCTAAATCAGAGATACAAAGTCTCACTCTCCTTAAGGGATGTGTGGGTGTGGGTATGATGGGGCAGGGGAGTCATGTTGTAGGCAGCCTGGAGTAGTGAACCACACAGCTCAAGTTTTGCCCTGACAGTAACTATCACCTAACTGCCAAACAAATAGTTGATGATGATGTAAGTACTGTAAGTAATTTGGTCATGTGTCCCTTCGCAAATATAGTTCTTAAATACTTTTCCTTTCCAGACGTTCGTTCCAAACGGGAGTATGATGAAGGCCATGTGATTACAGCCCTTCGAGTGAAAAAGGTATATGGTTGGGTCAGTATGGGGCAGGCTGGCCCCCTTGCAGGAGTGGGAAAGAATGGGAGGTTCTAGTATGGTGAGATCACATCCCCTCCCTAGGTGACCTCATGGCCTTAGCAGTTGGCATCTGTTGTTCTTGCCCTTGGAATCCATTGTTACAGTGACTAAGCCACTCCCTGACTGCCACTCACTAACTTCTCTCTACCTCCTGGCTTCTGTTTGCCCATTCATTCATTTAACCATGTTTATGGCCCACTGTGTGCCAGATACTTTCTAGAAAGTGGGGATACATCAATGACTTGAAAAAGGACAAAAATCCCTACTCTCACAGAACTTAGGTTTGATCTTACAGTCTGCCACCTCCTGTCTGCCTGCTCCTGACCTGTGCTTATCCAGGCCTGCTGCTCACTGCCCCTTTGTGGGGGTTTGTGGACTCAGCCCCCAGTGTCCCACGAGAGAGGCTGTTACTAATTCAGCTGGCCACAGTCGCTCTGATGCCAGGACCCCTAATAGGCTGTGGGCAGTCAGCAGACCAGCTGTTCTTGGCCAGGCACTTATCTCTGGTCCAGTCAGCTGCAGGCAGCTTTTCTGAGGGGGAAGTAAGTGTAGAAGATGCTGGAATTTAAGACTCTCAGGTCCACCCCCGTTTCCATGCCTGCGTGCGTAGTCAGAAGAGCGCAGTCCTGGCTCTTCCCAGCACTGCTGTGAAGGGAATACTTGCTCATCTGAACCCACCACTCATGGGCGTCTCCTGTGGTTTCCTTAGAAGGGGAATGAATATGTTATCCCGCAGTCCGTGGATCTGGAGTGTGTGAAGTACTGTGTGGTGTACGATAACAATACCAGCAACATGGAGGTGTCCTCAAAAGACAACAATGACGACGACTCTGATGATGCTGGTCAAGGTGGGTTTTTACAACAGCAAGAGTAATAGTTAACAGTTACTGAATGCTTTTGCCACATGCTAGGAGCCATGAGGCCAGGTGTTTCACCCAGGTCTCTTCATGCAATCTGTAGAACAACCTTACTGGGATAGTAATGTCATGAGCTATGAGGGGACTGAGATCTTATCCTCTTTGCAAGAGAACAGGTGAGCCTGCTACAGTTTCATACTGTAGCAGAGACACAAAATACTGACAGAGACACAAGATTCCTGGGTCAGAGACAAAGGACTCTATTATTCAGAGCAACAGAACTAGCCAGAATGTCATTATTTTCTTGCACTCATTCTCCAAGCCCCAGTTCTCTCTTTTGTTTTTTTTTTTGTTTGTTTGTTTGTTTTTGAGACAAAGTCTTGCTCTGTTGCCCAGGCTAGAGTAGAGTACAGTGGTGTGATCATAGCTCACTGCCACCTCATGCAACCTCAAACTCCTGAGCTCAAGCGCGATCCTCCTGCCTCAGCCTCCCAAGTAGCTGGGACTACAGGTGCATGCCACTATGCCTGGCTAATTTTTTCTATTAACACTTTTTCTAGAGATGGGCTATCTGTGTTGCCCAGCCTGGTCTCAAACTCTTGGCCTCAAGTGATTCTCCCACCTTGGCCTCCCAAAGTGCTAGGATTACAGGGATGAGCCACCACGCTTGGACTCAAGCCCCAATTCTCATAGGCTGACAAGAAGAGGGCCAGGTGACACTTATGTACACAGCAAGTTGCATTATAGGAGAAGAACCCAGAACTTAGGGGGCCTGGGTCTTCTATAATGGGCAGAAAAGAAGGAAAAACTCTATGTTTCATGACTGTTATATAAATATCTTGAAAATCTAGTTTGGAACAAAGGCAGCCAGTGCCTTTCTTTGTTCCTTGGACATGCAGAAGTGTGAGAGGCCATGGTGAATTGTCTAACACGTAACATTGCCCCCATTTTAGAGATGGGAGGAACCTGGGGCCCAGAAAGGTGAAGTAACTCACCCAGGATCTCACACCTAGGGAATTACTTATCTATTGCTGTGTAACAAATCATACCAAAACTCAGCAGCTGCAAACAACTAACAGTAATATCTCTCTGTTGCTGTGGGCCCAGAATTCAGGAGCAGCTCAGCTGGGAGGTTCAGACACAGGGTTTCTCCTTAGCTTGTAGTCAAATGTGAGCCTGGGCTGCTGTCACCTGAAGGTTTGGGCCAGGTGGCCTGCATCCAAGAGGACTCACTCACCTGGCTATAGCCAGGAGGCCTCAGTTCCTCACACGTGGACCTCTTCATGGGACAGCTTGAATGGCCCCACATGTGGCAGCTGGTTCCCCCAGAGTGAATGACCCGAGAGAGAAGAGAACAACAGGGAAGCCATGTGCCTTTCTGGCCCAGTCTTGGGACTCAATGTCACCTCCGCCACATCCTATTTCAGAATCAGGTCATTAAGTCCAGCCCACCCTCATGGAGAGGGCAGTTAGCCTCGACCTTTCAAAGGGAGGCCTTTGAAAGAATGTGTGGGCATTCTTAAGCCACCATTGCTAGAAGTTGGAGAGACCAGGATTCAAACCCAGGTTCAAATGTGGCCAGTTCCAGTGTGTTCCCCTGAACCCTGACACTCTGCTGTGTTCTCCATACAGTCCCTGGTTTTGGGCTGACCACCCGTGGCCATTGGTTTGGGGGGCTCCTCTTCCTGCAACTCAATAGCTAATTAGCATGTGTGGGTGCAGTTCCAGAGGCTGGGCACTCACACGCCTGCCATTGGGTGGCGCTAAGCTTCTACCTTTAATAAAACCAGCTTTCCAGACTTTCTTCCCAGGAGGTCCTTGGCCAGGAAACTGTCCCTTCTTCCCCAAGCTCATCCTGCTGGGCGCTGGTCTGCGATCCTAGGATTGTAGGCTGGACCCTGAAACCCTAGGAAACGGTGCTCAGCAAAGATGATCCCCCTTCTGTTCCATAAATGACCTCCTGTGCTATGGGGCCCCCATCTTCACTTGGGAAACCACGACCACACAGCTGGCTTGTCCACTGAAGGCAAATTTTCTTGTTTAAAATGGCATTTTTCAGTAAATGCGAAGTCTTCAAGGGTACGAGACCATCTCAGGGCTTCTCTTGCCACCCCCTTCTTCTTCCATCGTTAAACACATGCCGCCTCAGTACCTTCTGAGTTACGTCCTAGGAGCGGGTGCAAGGTGTTCTTTCCTGCTGGCCCCCGGGTCAGGTGTAGCACAGCCTGTGTGGCTTTGGCCATGAGCCTCTGTCCTTGCTGTGTCTGCAGCTGAAATGCCCATGGCTGGTGGAAGTTGCGAGCTTTTCTGCCCCTAGCAGTGCACAGCGGCTGCTCAGGGGAGCTCAGCCCTGTGCACACCTGCCCAGCTGCTGCACCTGGGCTTCCTGCCCAGCTGCCCATCTCTGGGCCTTGCTGAATCTCTCCTCAGCCTCTGCCTTAGGCTAACCACCCACCTGAATTCCTCAGAATTCCTCGTGGGAAGCCACCCAGTGTCTTCCCTGGTCCTGACCTCTGGGACTTTCTGTCCAAACATATTCCTTCTTTGATGAGAAAAATTTCTCTTATGTTAAATCATCCTTGCTTGCAAGAAACAAAATGTATTACAGACCCCCAAGCCAGGCTCTTGATGAGTGAGGGGAAGCTTTGGGAATTTGGGGATTTCTTTTCCCCTCTCTTAGCAGAGCCTGACTTTCATGACAATTGGCTGGCTAAGAACTCATTATAATTTAACTTAAAGCTCCCCGCTCCCCGAGCATGGACCTCTTGTTCGAAGAAAGCAGAACCTGACCTCCTCTGGATCTCTGTGGCAGGGTAGCTTGGCTACCCGATTGTCCTGATTGTCCCCTGGAAGCTGGCATTCCTCTGGCACTGACTATCATCCTTGATTGTGAATACAACTCCAGTGGATCTTGTGACAGTGGTGGGGAAGCAGCTGTCTGGCCTGAAGGCAGCAGCAGTGTGGCCTGGGACTCCCTCCCCAGCTCCCCTAGTCCCTCTGACCTGCCAGTCTCTTGCTTGCAAGGGATATGGCAGGTGCCGTGAAACCTGTTGGCCTGATTCTCTGATTTCTGAGCCAGGCTGGCCCTCTGGGTCCTGCTCCTGTTCCCTCCAAGCCTGGCTACAGACTCCAGACTCTTCCTCCGAATGCACTCACTCAGACAGGTCCCAGGCCACTTATGTCCCAAGCAGCTCCTGCTGGAACTGTCCTTGTCTCCCTGAACAAAATTCTATATAGAAGTCAGAGTCCCTGCCCTTCCCTTTCTGCTCATAGCTGGCTCTCCCAATCCTGCTGCACGGTATTTCTCTTTCTGGGCCACATCCTCTGCATGTCTTGGCTTAGCCTTAATTATGCAAACTTCCTGTCACATATCTAATTTGCATACAGTCTAATAGTCATTCTGCAGATCAATGGAGGCCTTTAAGATTAAATTGATGTCGAAACCACAATGAGATATCACTTTATACCCACCAGGATGGCCATAATCAAAAAGGCAGGTAATACGTGTTAGTGAGAACGTGGAGAAAATGGAACCTTCACGCCCAGCTGAGCAGGATGTGAAGTGGTGCAGCCAGTGTGGAAAACAGTTTCATGTTCCTTCAAAAGGTTAGGGTATATACCCAAAAGAAATGAAAACACATGCACCAAAAACTTGTACGTGAACATTCACGGCAGCATTATTCATAGTAACCAAAAAGTATCAACAGATACAGCAACGGAACAGGATGTGGTCTGTCCGCAATGGGATATTATTCAGCCGTACGAAGGGATGACACGCTGATACAGGCTGCAACATCGATAAATAGTGAAGAGATTATGGTGATAGAAGCCAGATACAAAATATCATACAGTAATGAGATGCCCAGAATAGGCAAATCCATAGAAATTAGTGGTTAACTAGAGCTGGGAGTTTGAGGGGAAGTTGAGAAGTGACTGCTGACCAGTACGGGGTCTCTTTTGGGGATGATAAAATGTTCTAAAATTGATTGTGGTAATGGTTGCACTACTCTGAATACACTAAAAACCATTGAATCGTACACTTTAAATGGGTGAATTGTGTGGTATACAACACATGGCATGCATATGGGGTGTGTGTGTGTGTATCTCAGAACTTACAGGAGAACAATAAACTTGGTGGTAAGTTGCTTTTGGAATTTTCATTGTAACAGCCATCTCTATGTATGCTTGCTTCAGCTTCTTAAATAATTGCTTTTCAGAAGAAAGTGACCACCCACCCCAGCCCTAGACAAACAGTGAGTACGCAGCGGACATTCATCTCTTTGGTCTTCTCTTTTAGAGATGGCGCCTGGCGCTGCCATTGAGTATGGCAAGATCCTGACCCACCTCACCCACCACCCTGTCTATATCCTGAAAGGGGGCTACGAGCGCTTCTCGGCCCTGTATCACTTCTTACGGACCCAGAAGATCATCTGGATGCCCCAGGTAAGGTGGGTTGCTGAGCACAGGTGGGCTCAGATGGGAGCACAGGCCTGGGGACCCAGGGGTGGGGGACACAGGGCATGGAAAGGACCCAGGGGACACGGAGAAGACTGGGTTGCACAAATGAATGCAGGGCACCCAGGGGCCCAGTTCTTCATGATGAATTCATAGCTGTCAGGTTAATGCCAAGGCCAGAGACAGGGCCTGTTCAGAGGGCAAGGCACCCCCAGGGGAGCTTTGGATGGTGGGCTATACTCACAGTCAGACAGGCTCAGACCCCCTCTCCATTCTTGGCTGTCTGGATCCAGGGGATACAAAAAAGGGCAAGACAAGAGTCCCTACCTGGGAGGAGCTCCTTGTCTATTGGGAAGGCGATGGCTGGAACATGGGCTATGGCTGAGGGCTGCACCAGGTGTCTGGAACCCAGAGGAGGGGTGCTTGGCTTCCAGGAGCCAAAGCTGAGGATGAGGATGTGAGCAAGAGAGCCAGGTACAGGTGAGTAAGGCAAGAGCCAAGACTGGGTGCCGTGGCTCATGCCTGTAAGCACTTTGGGAGGCTGTGAGGCAGGAGGACTGCTTGAGGCCAAAGTTTGAGACAAGGCTGGGCAACATAGGGAGACTCTGTTTCTACAAAAAATAGAAAAATTAGCTGGGCGTGGTGGCGTGCCTATGGTCCCAGCTACTTAGGAGGCTGAGGCAGGAGGATGGCTTGATCCCAGGAGTTTGAGGTTGCAGTTACCTATGACGACACCACTCCACTCTAGCCCAGGTGACGGAGTGAGACCTTGTCTCCAAAAAAAAAAAAAAAAAAAAAAAAACAGCTTCCTAGAGGACATTGTGTTAGAGGAATGTATCTGGTTTACTGAAGAGTCTGAAGCACAATGGAATGTAAACACAAAGTGGTTTCATTTTGTTCTAATTTGTTCTAAGTTGCCTGCAGCTGTGCTTTCATTCCTGCCCTTAGCAACATCTTGAGCAGATTCCATACGTTCTGGCCACTTTCAGTTAACTTTCAGTAAACTTCAATCTAAGTCATATATAGTATAAGGAATGGTTACTTTTTAAAGATTGTGATGACATTATTATGCTTATTTTTAAAAAGTGCAAGTCCCTATCTTTTAGAGATACAGAATGAGATATTTGTGGGTGAAGTGCTATGATGTACGGAATTTCCTTTGAAATAATCCAGGGTAGGGCAGGGACTCGGTGGGGGTGTAGATGAAACAAAATTGGCCGTGAGTTGATAATGTTTGAAGCTGGGTGGTGGATAGAGGGGTTTATTGTACTATTTTTTCTAATTTTGTGCATATTTTTGACATAATTTTAAATAAAGGAAATGAAAACAATCTAAGTACAAGCTGGGCAGTTTAATATTCCAATCTCAATCTGAATCTCTTCCTTCCCCCAGAGCTGAGCAGCCTTCGGGTTTGCTGGGGGCCTCAGGATGAGGAGAGGTGGGAGTAGCTTTAAGGACAGCTCCTTTCTGCCCCTCTTTGGGCCTAGCCCTTGGGCGCTGGGGCCCAGAATGGGGCCTCTCTGTGTGACGGGCTGCGTGTTAGTGCTGGGGAAGCGCCTCTTCTCTCTGGCCCAGTCTGGGTCTGTGAGCTGCTAGTGGCTTCTGCTGCTGGTTCCTTGGGGCCTGGCTCCGCCTCACCCTGGACCCTTCTGCGGCAGAGGATGTCCCAGCAAGTGCCAGCTGTGCCTCCCTTCAACCCCCGCCAGGAGTCCCCTCAACTCCAACTCCCTGCCCTTCTCTTGGCAGCCCACGACCACCCCCTCGACACTCTTTCCCCTGAATCCCAGGATGGTCCTGGGTGATAAGGCGGGGATGTGGGTCTGAGGTCACACATGTTCCCAAATCCAGGGCATGATACATGTGAAGCTCTCCAAGGACTTCCTCCCCTTCCTCCATGAGAGCACAGCACTGTGGATTTCAGCTCTCCCCGTCCTGCCAGGCCCTCCTCCTCCTCACTCCTGGAGGAGCACCCCTTAATGGCTTTGCAGGGTGTGAGGAGATTGATTTCTTCTCGGCAAACCTTACACTTTCCTAACTCCCTACCATCCCCTGCACCTCGTTGCTGGAGCTTTAGTAAGGTGTAATTGACATACGATGAACTGTACCTATCTCAAACGGACAGTGCGGTCAGTTTGACACAGTTTGCACCCCTCATGTGACTTTCCCCTCATCGTTCCCCTGGTGTTATGCAGACCGGGACGGGGGGGTGGGTTGTGGCTGGTGGCAGGTATGAGGGCTGGGTGGGGTGAGTCATCATAGCTCTACTTGTTCGTGGCTTTCTTTAGAATGTAGGTACCTAGCATTCGTCTCTCCCTGCTGTGGGACCTTTGCCACCAACTTCAGGAACAAGGATGACAGTTTCACTTCCCTCCTATTGCCTGTTCTTAAATACTGCAAAGCCGGGGTGTCCTGACTGCCCCCCATGGAGCTCCTTCCGTGAGGGCAGATGGAGGCCCAGCTTTTGGGCTCTGAGACTGCTCCTCTGCTTTAGACCAAGTGACTACATTTCCTCTGTTTTACAGGTGGCCTTTCCTAAATGACACTTCCCTTTGAGGAAAGGGGTTCTTTCTGCGACGGAAACGTGTTTGAAGCCCACTCCTAGCAGTGCTGGGTTGCGGGGTGGAGTGGTTGGATTTCACATTAGAAAGATCAACTCAGATTGCAGTGTGGGGAGCAGATCAGTGGGGCCGAGTGGATTTGGGGGAGCCCTGCTAGGAGGCAGGGATGGAGAGGGGAGAGAGCAGAGACAGGAAATATTCAGGAGGTGGCCCTGACCGGACGTGAGACTGGGATGCTGCGATGCCCTGGTTTTAGGCGTGGGTGGCAGGTGGCCCTGGTGTGGTTCTCTGGGGTGGGAGCAGTGGGTGGGGGAGGAGCAGGTGATTTGGGGGAGACGGTGGGCTCAGTTGGGGCCTGTTCATTGGTAATACCTAACACTACCAAGCACTTGCTCTTCATAGCGCAGTGTGTTTTCTCCACGCCGCACTCGCTTCCCAGCCAAACCCGCACAACCACAGAAAAGGAAGCTAGTGTCAAAGCAGCAGGAAGAAAGTTGATAGATTTGTCATGGGTTTTTGGGAAGATTTTCTAAGTGGAACTTGAAAGGGGGATTTCACTCAGCACCAGCAAGCCTGTGGGGTCAGCTTCGGGCCATGTCTGTCCACCAGCAGTGGACCTGTGCATCGAGTTGTACGTCTCTGTGCCACCAGCCTGAGGACGGGCTCGGCTTGGTGGCTGCTCGTTGCTAAAGGTTTTTGAGGCCGGCGGCTTGGGAAGGATGTGGGCTCGCGGCGGTTCCCGTGGTGGGGAGGTGTGACGTGCTGAGTCCTGGTGGCTCTGAGGGACCGATGCAGACAGTGAAGTAGCCTGAGGTATTTAAGATGTCACTTCTGAGTCAGACTTGGAGCTGGAGGATTTTTGGAGCTGGTTTTGATCTTTGAAATGACTTGTGTCATTCAAAGGAGTACCGATGGAGAAAAGTGGTCTATAGTCGGAGCCTGTGGGAGACATCAGATCATACAGTGAGCAGGTTTCTCTGCCACGGGGCTCCTTCCGGCCTTTGATTGCTAAGACACTGCGCGTTCCAGAGAGGGGGGACATGGCTACGGCTGCCTGGACATATAGCTGCCCTTCAGTGTCCACAGGGGGTTGTTTCGAGGACCCCCCACAGATACCAAAATCCACGGATGCTCTCTCTGGTATAAAATGCTACAGTATTTGCATATATCCTACACACATCCTCCTGTGTACTTTAAATCATCTCTAGGTTACTTATAATACCTAATGCAATGTAAATGCTGTGTGAACAGTTGTGACACCATATTATTTAGGAAATGATGACAAAAAAATGTCTGTGTATGTTCAGTATAGATGCAACTTTCTACTTTTTTCTGAATGTTTCTGACGTGAGGTTGGCTGAGTCCATGGACATGGAACCCACAGATACAGAGGATGACTGTACTTGGTTCTCTAAACCCTTTTTTCATAGTGCGCTATGAGGGACCAGTGCTTCCTAGAACACACTTTGGGAATTGTAGAAATAATCCTTTTATCTGTTTCTTTTTCAAAGAAACCATATAATTTGGGGCCCGGGATTCAGTAAGCTTCCATTTCATTGGTTGTCCTGTTCCCTCTACTTCCCTACACATTCCAACCCTTCTTCAGAATTCATTTCCTAGTGGCAAATAGGCTCTGTGCGAAGAGTTGTGTGCTTTTGTTTGTTTGTTTGTTTTTGGAGACAGTCTTGCTCTGTCGCCCCTGCTGGAGTGCAGTGGTGTCATCATAACTCACAGCAACCTCACACTCCTGGGCTCGAGCGATCTTCCTGCCTCAGCCTCCCGAGAAGCTGGGACTACAGGCATGCGCCACCTCGCCTGGCTAATTTTTTCTATTTTTAGTAGAGATGGGGGCTTGGTTTTGCTCAGAAGAGGTTTTATTGTTGTTTTTTTTGAGATGCTTAAGTTCTGGTGGCCTCCAAGTGTAATAAGAGGGCTGTCCACCCCCCATCCACCCCACCCCCAACTGGAAACACGAAGGGTTGTCACAGTTCTGGGCCACAGGGTCCTCAACTCCAACCTTTGTGTACCTGGCCAGGAGCACCCGGCTGCCCTGGAAGGAAGCGGATGGCGGTACTGAGACCCAACACTGTGCTCTGTGTTTCGGTCCTTTTGTCACCACCAGCTCTCTGACCACTTGTGCAAGTCATTATCTGCCCGTCTCTTTGAAAGTCTGGATCTCAGTCTCATTCCCTGTCCCGGGATTGCCCTTTTAAGCTTGTTCACTGAGCCGCATTTCAAGAAACAGAAAAAACCCTCTTCCCTGGGGAATTTGCTTATAGCTGCCTTTCTTCTGTCCCACCTCAGGAACTGGACACATTTCAGCCATACCCCGTGGAAATAATACCAGGCAGGGTCTTCGTGGGCGATTTCAGTCAAGCCTGTGACCCTAAAATTCAGAAGGATTTGAAAATAAGAGCACACGTCAATGTCTCCATGGAGACGGGGCCTTTGTAAGTAAAGGAGATACTATTGATTCTTTGTTTTTTTAGGTTAAGTATCATTTATTTATACAAGTTTCCCAGTGCCATGCGTGTGTAGAGTTCAAAGGGCTCTTAGAAGTCAGTACACACTGGAGCAGGTCAGCACTGACCTTCACCTGTTCCCGGCCTGCAGACCGTCTCCTGCCTGGCTCTGGCATCCTCTGCCCCTGACTGAGACCCCATACTTGCCCTTTACATTTCACTGAAAGTAGCGTCCTGTTTTACCTGATTTTGCCTCTCTCAGGCCCTCGGAGAAATGCCCCCCATGCCTCAGATTTGCCCTGGTACCAGGGAGACAGACAGACACGTGCCCATTCATCCTTGTTCAGTGAGCAGGAAAGCCCTGCCCAGCCTGGCTTGTCAGCCTCTGTTTTCCCAGCTGTGTCCAGTCATGATCACCAAGGCCCAGCACTGTATACTTGTCTACTTCCAGCTCCTGATCGAAGCTAATAAAGACTCACCTCAGGGAGAATTTATGAAAATAACACGAGGATTCAGTAAGGCATCTAGCAACAAAAAATACCGTATAAAAATCAATGCTTGATTTGTTGATATAAAAACAACAATCAGTACAAGTCGAGTATCCCTAATATGAAAATCTGAAATCTGAAATGCTCCAAAATCTGAAACTTTTTGAGCACTGATGTGACACTCAAAGGCAATAAATGCTCATTGGACATTTCAGAATTTGGATATTCAGATTATGGATGTTCAATCAGTAAGTATGATGCAAATATTATGAAATATGAAAAAGTTCAAATTTTGAAACACTTCTGGTCATAAGCATTTTGGATAAGGTATTCTCAACCCATAAGAGAGAAAATATCCAATTTACAAAAGAAGAAACAATAAGATTTCTAAGAATAAACTGAATAAGAACTATATAGGGACGATGTCAAAAAAATCAAAATTTTAAGGAAGGAGATGAAAGAAGTTATGGACAATGGGAAAGAATTTCTTGATAGTAAGTCCAATGCTATGATGATTCAATTCTCTATGAGTTAATCTATAGATTCAAAAAGATTTCAGTCAAAAAGTTATGTGTCTATAACTAAACAATTTGATATTAAAATTCACATAGAGACCTAAGTAGTTTGTAAGGAATGAGGACAAAGTGATTCAGGCCAGCCTTCCAGAAAGAACAACTAGAAGAGTTGGATCAAAGATTTTCTTCTGCCTTATGTATCAGAGAGTGGACAAAACAGTGAAGATTTTATGGCTGATAGCTGAGAGAAGAAAAAACACTAGAGACATGAGGCCAGTAGTTTGGTGTTCCTTTTTCATGAGGGGTGTCTGCTGATTCTGGAGAGAAAAAATGGGGCAGAATTAATATCATTTTTTGGAGACAGAGTCTTGCTCTTGTTGCCCAGGTTAGAGTGCCGTGGTGTCAGCCTAGCTCACAGCAACCTCAAACTCCTGGGCTCAAGTGATCCTTCTGCCTCCACCTCCCCAGTAGCTGGGACTACAGGCATGCACCACCATGTCCAGCTAATTTTTCTATTTTTGGTAGAGACAGGGTCTCGCTCTTGCTCAGGCTGGTCTCAAACTCCTGACCTTGAGCAATCCTCCTGCCTCGGCCTCCCAGAGTGCTAGGATTACAGACGTGAGCCACCGCACCCAGCCCCAGAATTAATATCTGAAAAGATAAGGGCTGAGAGTTTTCCAAAGTTGATGAAGTGCCCCAAGCCATAGATTCAAGCCTTATGAACTCCAAGCAGGATAAATCTAAAGGAAATAACATCTAGGCTCATAGTCAACTGCTGAAGACCAAAGAAAGGACATATTAAAAACAGCAGAGAAAAAGGACAGATTACTTTCAAAGGAGCAACAATCAGACTGACAGCTGACTTCTCAACAGAAATAATTGAAACTAGAAGGAAATGGAATGTACCTTTGTGGTTGGTAGCCTTTCAGGTGAGTCTCCACCTCCTGAGATTCACACTGTCAAATGTGGGCTGGACTTATTGATGTGCCTCTAATGCATATCATAAAATGAAAGTGATAGGACATCACTTCTGATATTAGGTTACAGAAAGACTTTGGCTTCTGTATTGCTCTCTTGCTTGTTCACTCTGAAGGAAGTTAACTAACATGTCACGAGCTGCCCTATGGAGAGGTTCACGTGGCAAGAAACTGAGGGAGGCCTCCAGATAGTAGCTAGTGAGGAACTGAGGCCCTCAGTCAAAAAGGCTGCAGGGAACTGAATCCTGATGATAGCTGTGTGAGTTAGCTTGGAAGCAGCTCCTTCTCCAGTTGAGCCTTCAGAGGAGACCTGCCCAAGAGCTTGACTGTAAGCACAGAGAGATTTTAAGCTAATGGTACCCAGCTAAGCCACGTCCAGATTCCTGACCCATATAAATGGCTAAATAATAAATGTTGTTTTAAGCAACAGAATTTTAGGGTATGTTGTTATACAGCAATAAATAACTGATACAATCTTAAAGCACCAAAAGAGAATAACTGCCAACCCACAATTTCATACCCAGAGAATATGTTGTTCAAGAATATAAGTGAGGGCCGGGCGCGGTGGCTCACGCCTGTAATCCTAGCTCTCTGGGAGGCCGAGGCGGGCGGATTGTTTGAGCTCAGGAGTTCGAAACCAGCCTGAGCAAGAGTGAGACCCCGTCTCTACTAAAAATAGAAACAAATTAATCGGACAACTAAAAATATATAGAAAAAATTAGCCGGGCATGGTGGTGCATGTCTGTAGTCCCAGCTACTCGGGAGGCTGAGGCAGAAGGATCGCTTGAGCCCAGGAGTTTGAGGTTGCTGTGAGCTAGGATGATGGCCACGGCACTCTACCCCGGGCAACACAGTGAGACTCTGTCTCAAAAAAAAAAAAAAAAAAAAAAGAAGTGAGAAGAATTTAGATTTCTTGTCATTATGGAATAATAGAGACCAGATTTACAATCCCACCTTAAACAACCAAAATAACTCAGAGAAAACATCTGAGATAAGGGTTTTTAGACAGTGGCCAACAGACAGCACAGGGCAGTCTAAATACTCCAATTAAAAGGCAGAGGTTGTAGGCTGCCTACAAAAAATGTACTTTAAATGTAAAGATAAAGACAGCCTGAATAGCCCTATACCTATTAGAGAAATTGAATTCATAGTTAAAAACCTTTGCACAAAGAAAACTTTGCAGTCCATATACCTTCACAGGTGAAATGCTGTCAGTTCTACACAAACTCTTCCAGAAAATAAGAGGGAACCTTTTTCAATTCCTTTAAGAAGCCATTATTACTCTAATACCCAAATCTGACAAAGACTTTACAAGAAGGGAAAATTACAGACCAATATCCTCATGAACATAGGTGCAAAAATTCTGAACTAAATTTTTAGCAAATTGAATCCTAAAATATATAAAAAAGATAATATCTCATGATCAAATGTATTTGTTCTAGGAATGCAAGGTTGGTTTAACATTAGAAAATCAGTCACTGTAATTGCCCATATTAATAGACTAGAAAAGAAAAATCATCCTCACTATGATGCAGAAAATGGCACCCTACAGCTGCTGAATCCGTATGTATGTATATTTTAAGTTTACATAGAATATTTATAAAAATTAACAATATGCTGGTCCATAAAGCAAGATTCCATGGATTTTAGGAGATTAAAATCATATACAGTTGGCCTTCAACTACTGTGGAATTGATGTAGAAAACAATAATTAAAAATAACTAGAAAATCCTTAGAAAATTTATAAATTAAGAAATAGGTGTGGTGGCTCATGCCTGTAATCCTAACACTCTGGGAGGCCGAGGTGGAAGGATTGCTCGAGCTCAGGTGTTTAAGACCAGCCTGAGCAAGAGCGAGACCCCATCTCCACCAAAAATAGAAAAATTAGCTGGACGTGGTGGCGGGTGCCTGTAGTCCCAGCTACTTGGGAGGCTGAGACAGGAGAATTGCTTGAGCTCAGGAGTTGAGGTTGCTGTGAGCTAGGCTGATGCCACGACACTCTAGCCCAGATGACACAGCAAGACTCTGTCTCAAAAAAAAAAAAAAATTCTAGCTGGGCACAGTGGCACGTGCCTGTAATCCCAGCTACTCCTGAGGCTGAGGCAGGAGGATGGCTTGAGCCCAGGAGTTTGAGGCTGCAGTGAATTATGATCACATCACTGTACTCTAGCCTGGGTGACATAGCCAGATACCATCTTAAAAAAAAAAAAAAAGAAAATGGAATAAAAAGCCCTTGGATCAAAGAAGTAGTCACAATGGAAATTAGGAAATATTTTCAACTACATGGTAATGGAAATACAACATATCAAAACTTGTGGAATATAGCTAAGTTGTGTGTAGAGGGAAATTTTATAGCCTTAAATGCATCTATTTAAAAAGGCTAAAAATCAACTAGGTAAGCATTCATCTCAAGAAATTACCAAAGGAATAGCAAATTAAATCCAATAAAGAAGGAAGGAAAAAGAGCAGATTATTGGAACAGAAGCAATAAAACAGTATTAAGAAAATGAAAATAGTCTTTAAAAAACTAATAAATTTGATAAATCCTTGGCAAAAAAGAGAAGGCGCAAATTACCATATGGAAAAGGGGACTCTATATATCCTACAGATATTAAAAAGATCATAAAATGTTATTATGAAAACTTTATCATGATAAATAGAATTTAGATGAAATGAACAAATTAGAAAATACTACCTATCAAAACTGACATCAGACAAAATAAAAATTTGATTATCAAATTTTTTGACATCTTTATTAGTTATTTGTTTATCAATAACTAATAAATTTCCATAGAGAAAACTCCAGGACTAGATAGCTTCCATGATGAATTTCACCTAAGATTTAAGGAGAAAATAAAGGCAGTGTTAAGCTTTTTTTCTTTTTAGAGAATTAAAAAGAGGAACAATTATCAACTTGTTTTATGAGGCCAGTATAACTGTGATTTCATAATTTGACAAAGACATTATAATATGGGTAAATTATAGACTAATTTTCTTCATGAACATAGATGTAAAAATCCTAAACGAAATATTAGCATACTGAATACAGTGATATATGAAAAAGATAATATATGATGACTAAATTGGGTTTATTACAAGGGCATAAGGTTGTTGTAGCATCTGAAAAAATCAGTCCATGTAATTTACCATATCAATAACACAGAGCAAAACCAGGATTAGCTACATAGATGCAGTGAAAACATTTGATAATATTCACTATTCATTCATGATTTTAAAAAATCTTTTAGCAAACTGGGAATGGAATGAAACTTTCTTGATCTAATAAAAAAAATCTAAAAAAGTCTTTACAGCAAACATCGCACTTAACGGTGAAATGCTGAAAGTTTTCCCTCTGAGATTTGAAACAAGACAAAGACGCCACTATTCCCACTCCTATATAATGTTGTGCTGGAGGTCCTAGCTGGCAAAATATGGCAGGAATAAGAAATTTTTTTTAAAAAAGCAAAAGGGGGACAAAAAATAAGACTTCCGTTATTCACAGACAATATAATTGTATAGACAGAAAAGCCAAAAAACCTGCAGATAAATTGTTAGAACTAATAAATAAGGTTGCCAGATACAATATCAATACTGCATACAAATATTAATTGTTTTCTGAATACGAATGAGGAGCAGAAAATGAAATTTTACAAAGATATATTTTGTGATGGAAAAATGTTAGCATATGTAATGAAAGCTCTGTAAGATCTCTACATCGAAAAATAAAAAGCATTACTGTGAGTTTTTAAAGATTCCCTGAATAAATAGAGGGATGTTCTATGGTTGTAGATTAGAAGAATTAATTTTGCAGAGATGTTGATTCTTGCCCAGTCAATCTATAGATTCAATGTAATGCCAATAAAGTTCCAGTAGGTTTGTGGGAATTTATACAGTAACTAAAGTTTATATGGAAATGCCAAGGGGGTAAAAAAAAAAAAAGCTAAGTGTCAAAGAGTAACAAATGGGAAGGTTTGCTTGACCAGATATCAAGACAATAAAACTGCAGTAAGCAAAGGCATTGTGATACTGGTACAAGGAGAAAAAAATAAAGCAATGGAGAATAGAGCCCACACCCAGAGTCTTGCATATATGGATAATTGAATTTTGACAAAGATTTTCTTCTAAAAATTTATAGTTTTAACTTTTACACCTCATAATCCATTTTGAAATAATTTTGTACATGGTGCTAGATATGGAGCAAAGTTCATTGTTTTGAATATGGGTAGCTTTTTGTTCCAGCAACATTTGTTGAAAAGATAATTGACCATGCATGGGGCTACATCTAGATCTGTTATTCTTTTCTGTTGATCTATGTCTTTCTTTACACCAATTCCACATTCTTGATTACTGTAGCTTTATAAGAAGTCTTGAAATCAGGTACTGTTAGGCCTCGAATTTAGTTCTTCTTTTCCAGAGTTGTTTCCTTTGTATTTCCACATAAATTTTAGAATTAGCTTGTCAGTTTCTACAGAGAAGCCTGCAGGAATTTTGTTTGGGACCGAACTGAATCCATAGATCAGTTTGGCGGGAATTGACATCTTAACAATGTTGAGTTCATGATTCATGATCATGATCTCTCTCCCCCTTTACTTTGGTCTTTTGTGTCTTTCAGCGATGTTTTCTAGTTTTTGGTGTATAGATCTTGCACATCTTGCGTCAGATTTCTTAAATATTTGATCTTTTTTGATGCAATGATAAATGGTATTTGTAAATTTTCAGTTTCTGATTGTTGCTAGTGTATAGAAATCTCATAGATTTTTATATACTGACCTTGTATCCTTCAACCTTCTCCTTCCAGATGCCCCTCCATTGTGAAGCTCTCCCCAGCTCCCCCTGCCTTTCCTCTGCCCCAGCTACCCGGTATCACGTGCAGGTCCTTATCCCAACACCTCGCCAATTGGATTGGGGCCATGTGCCCGTCAGACTGGGAGCCCCTTGGAGCTGGAAGGGGCCCTATGTGATTTATCTACTGCATGCCAGGCACTGTGCCAGGCTCCTTGCAGACACCCTCCCGTTAGCCACACCACATTCCTCCCCTTCCCTTCACTTGGAAAGCTCTGCCACTCTCAATTCCCGGTGGTTTTTCCAGTACACCAAACACACTGCCTCTCGGGGCCTGTGCACTGCATTCCCCTTTGCCTGGAACTTTCCCTGCAGACACCTGCCTGGCTTGTTCCCTTTCCTCCGGTAGCCCCTGCTCAAACATCACCTCCTCAGGGAAGCCTTCCCTGAACACTCCGTCTAAAGTGGCAGCCATGCCGTGTCCATCCCTCTGCCTGTGCTCTCCGCCTGACACAGCGGGCTCATCCCCCGAGGCCATTCAGTACACTTGCCCATCCTCATTTAATCATCTGCACCCGATTCTAGGAAACTACCGTGTTTTGGGTCTCTAATAATAACATCCCGTGTATCATAGTATATGCCAAGCGGATTGCTTAATGCTTTCCGTAGGTGACTTCCCACGATCCACACAGCACCCCCATGAGGTGGGCACTTGTTTTCTGAGAGAGGTCCGATTACTTGCGCACAGACCCCCGATGCTAGCCCGGCGTCCTTCCCCCGTGATCCTGCTGAGGACAAGGGATGTCACGTGGCGCCGCGAGCGAGTCTGCCTGATTACCTGTGCGGTCCTTCTATTTAGTTTTGTAGGTGATCCTGACAAGCTTCTGCACGTCCAGATAGAAGATTCCCCGGAAGCCAAGATTTTCCCCTTTTTTCGCCACCTCTGTCACTTTATTGGTGAGGAGCGTTCCCTGACCAGGCAGCCCCTGGCCTGTACCCAGGAAGCAGAGTGGCCTCGTCCACACACCTGTTCCTGGCCTCGACTCCCGGTGCTCAGGAGCGGAGGGGCAGTGCCCAGCACACGCCTGGTCAGTGTGGACAGGCCCCAGGCCAAGTCCAGCTTCTCGGGAGCCCTCAGCAATGCGACAACCGGGGCGTTTGCCTCGCAGGCCAGGGTGGGTGGGGCGGTGCAGTAAGAGCACCAGGTTGTGGGCTGAGCACCCTGCGTTCTGGCCCTGGCTGGCGGCTGTGTCCTGGGGGCCTGTCGTAAAAGAAGGGTGCCGGCCACCCACGGGCGCACACGTTCATGGAGGCCTGCTCTGGCCTGGGCTCTGGGGACCTGGAGGTGACTCTCACGCCATCCTCGCCCTCATCCCTGGTCAGCAGGGTGGGGTGGGAAGGAAGGAATATTCCAGAGCACCCCTGGCTCTGACTTCTGTGATCCTCAGTGTCTGTACCCAGCCCCTCTGTCCTCCCACCATGCACAAGTGAGGCCCACCAGTTACTTACCTCATTGCGGGTAGACTTTTCAGTCACTCTCAGGGCTCAAGATTGGCCCCAGGAGAGCAAGGTCCCTGGAGAGAGCAGGGCTGAGTCGGGTCAGAGGCCCTCACCCCCGTGACTGCCTGCCCGGCACTAAAGCAGCCCTCAGCCCGAGCTGCTGCACCAGGGGCTGGAACACGGCATTTTGGTGGCCCAGCCACCCCTTATTTGCCCAGCAGATGGCAACTGTCGCTTGACTGGGATCTGAGACTGAGACTTCGTATGTGTCCCACCATGAGATGGTAGAGTCTTGTGGCCCAAAAGGGCCCCTGTCCAGCCCCGCCTCCCTGGGCAGCTCCAGGCCGGTTCTTAATAGCTCTGTGCCTCTGTCGCTTCATCCGTGCCCATTCAGTCGGCCTGAGTCACCTCTGAGTCCTCCAGCCTGACAGTCTGATTTTGCACTTGGTGTTTTCTTTCAGTTCTTGAAGGTGCCCAGGCCAGCCCCCATGCCAGCTGAGATCTCCTCCTTCCCCCTCACTGGACGGGACTCAGCGTCAGGGGTTAGAGCTGACATTTCTGTGCCAGGCACTGGGCTAAGTACAGAGCAAAACCAAACCCTATGGGATGGGGAGTATGTTGTTATTCCATCTTCCAGATGAGGAAACTGTGGCTTAAAGTAACTTGCCCAAGCCCCACAGCCAGTGAGTGGCAGGGTGGATTTGCACCCAAGCCACACTGCCTCTGTCAGTGCCTGAGTGTCCTTGGGGCATAATCCTGTCATCCCCACCCTGGGAGGCCAGGCACAGGCCTTGCTGACAATGCCAGATGCCCAGGCACGATCCTCTTGAACTTCCAGCCAGGCCAGACAACAAAAGTGTCCCAGAGCAGTCACATGACTTGCCCGGGATACTTGTGCTGGTTCTGAACTCCCTCACGGGCCCTCTGAGGCCGGTGTCTGACAGCCACCCAGGCCCACAGGGAGGAGGGCCGTGCATGACCCCCTCCTATCTTTCTGCAGAAATTCACCTCCAGCTCGGCTCTGTCGTCCTGATCTTCTCCACCAGGGGGATCAGTCGCAGCTGTGCGGCCGCTGTGGCCTACCTCATGCACCAGCACAATCAGACCATGAAGGTACGCGTTCCTGGGGCCAGAGTGGGACCTGGGAGGGACAGGGACCCAGCACTGCTTCGGGCCCTAATCGGGGTGGGAAGGAGAATAACTGGGGAGGTGGGGGGAGGCTCAAGTCTAGGGCGGCATCTGGGGGCTAGGTCCCAGTGTTGCAGGGTAGAGGTCTGAGGCTGGGCATGCAGCATTCTCTGCGTGGTCCCCACTGCCATCAGTCTGTCCACTGGCATTTGTTTGGGGTTACCTTAGGGAGGACGGCTCGGAGTCACAGGATTGCAGCACAGACGGGGCGTCCGCAGGCTCCCACTCCAACAATCTTCCTTGACCTGACATTGGGACCCAGGGAGGGAAGGGAAGCAGGGAGGCAGAACTCAGAACTCCCAGACAGTGCTTTCTTGGGCACCTCTCTGGGGAAGGGGGCCTGGCCTGTCACCTCACAGCCTGTTCGTGGTCTTGGAGGGCTTGGGTCGGACCTGGAAAGCCTCCACATCTGCCCAGGGGAGTGCTTGGGAGAGGGGAGGAACAAAGAACAACCAGGGTCAGAGCCCATCTGCCAGTGGTTTTGACATGGACCCAACGTGCTCTTTGCGGGAGAAGCTGCAAGCTCAGAAGTCTTGGATGTCCGCAATTCCACCTCCAAAACAAGTGTAAACACAGACTTGAACACTCATGTTCCTGGCAGCATTATTCACAATGGCCAAAAGGTGGAAGTGACCCGAGTGTCCGTGGACAAGTGAATGGATACACAAAACATGATACATACATACAGTGGAAGATTATTCAGCCTTAAAGAGCAAGGAAATCCTGACACCTGCTACAACATGGATGAACCTCGAGGGGGTTACGCTAAGTGAAACAAACTAGTCACAAAAGGACACACACTGCGTGATTCCATTTACCTGAGCTACCAAAGTCATAGACACAGGTGAATGGGCTGCCAGAGGCTGGGGGAGGGGCGCTGGGGCGTCAGTGTTTCATGGGGACAGAGTTTCGGTTTGAAAGATGAAAAAGTTCTGGCGACGGGTGTGATGGTTGAATCACAACGTGAATGTCCTTAATGCCACTGACCTGTACAGTTAAAATGGTAAATTTTATGTTATGTATGTATTTTACCACAATTTTAAAGAAAGAGTCTGAGTGCAAAATCAGAGGGGCTGGGGGCTGGGGTTTGAGGACGTGAGGCCCAGATCCCTGTTCTCTCACCACATTCAAGGCGAATTTTGGGGGCCCCCATTCGGAGCTCACTGCCTGCTTGAGGAGTATGTGGGTGTGGACTGGGGTGGGGAGTGGTGTCACCGATAAGGCTTGGGAGGGAAGGCTGTGCAGAGACGACACTCCAGCCCCCTCCCCAAGAATCTGCCCTCAGAGGGGCCCCCCTCGCTGCCTTGCGAGCTGGTAGGAGGAGAAGGCGGGGAGCTGGCTGCCGCCCAGCTGGGCTAAAGGCAGAGCTCACCCGCTTGCAGGGTCCTAGGGGAGTTCCGGGACTTGAGCTCTCCCAGAGTTTGAAAGAGGCCAATCTGGTGATCTTCACCAAGCCCTGCCTTGTTGTGGTCCCTGGTTTCCACAGAGAAGGTTGGTCACAAAAAGGTCTTCAGAGCCCCCCAACTCTGACATTTAGTCTACTGTCCAGCAGAGGTCACCAGTTACTTGCCAGGGCTGGCTGGGGCAAGAGCAAAGTGAGGAGGACCCTCTTCCCGCTCAGCTCCTCCAAGTGCCCCAGCAGGTAGGCCCAGCCCTCAAGGCGGCGGGGCACCTGCAGGAGCATTCCGGTCAGAGATGCCGTCTCAAGAACTCATGGCCAAAAAGCCTCACAGCCCAAGAGCCGTGGTCAGGGAGGACTGCCCCTATGCTCTTGCGTGGTGTAGTTTTCCTGCTATAGGCAGCACCCTGCGTGGCCGACACAGGTTGACCCGGGCTTGACTCTGTGGGGAGTGATCCTGCCTCCCATTGTATGTGGCACTGGAGTCCTGGGGGTCAGGCTGCCCATCCATGGCTTGGGGACGTCATGCTCTCTGGCTGCTCAGAGTGGGCTTCTCACAGGCCCAACAGAATGCTTTCTGGGGCCCAGTCCAGCTCCTCAGGTGCTAAGGCCAAGGGTTGGAGGGTCAGGGAGTGAGATGGGAAGAACCCGGCACCCATGGTCTGCTGACACCCAGAGCCACCCCTAACCTGGGCTTTCAGAGCTTTGGCGCAAGGTTGTGTGGGATCCCAGAGCCATCATGCCCTCAAGAAATCAATTTCAGTGTCTAGGAATAGCTTTGTCCCTTAAAAATCTTCAGAGACAGATTGAAAAAAAAAAAAAAACCAAAAACTTCTGGAGGCTCCATAATAACTAACTTTGATGTTTTAGTATTTATGTGTAATAAGAACACATTCGCGGTGACCCTGCGGCATAGTTATTATCCCCATTTTGTGAGAGATGCAAAGAGGCTGGGTAACTGGCCCCAGGCCCCGGGGCTGTAAGTGGCAAAGCTGGAATCCAAAGCCGGAGGCACCCAGCTGGAGAAGCCGGGGTGGCAGGGAGAACACCGGCCTTGCAGGCTGCCGAACAGGGCCTGGGCTGGCACTACCCTGTACCAGGTGTGACCTGGGCATGTCCCTTCACCTTTCTGTCACCAAAGTAGGTAGAATGGAGCTGACAGCACCTGCCCTTCCTGCCTGCTGCCTTTGCTGTGAGAGTCCCAGCAGATGCTTTGTGGCTAGAAGGGGGTAGGGGTGGGGAGGAGAGTGTGGAGTCGGGGTGGCGGATGTATGTGGTCCATGGTTCCTCCTTAAGGGCCTGTTCCGACCTGGCCAGGACTAAGTCAGACTTACAACTTGCACAGCGCTGCCCCTGGAACTACTTTTAATAAAAATTGTGGTGAAATATACATAACAGAAAATTTACCATCTTAATCATTTGTAAATGTATATTTTAGTAGTGTTAAGTACATCCACATTGTTGTGCAACCAATCTCCCAAACTTTTTCATCTTGAGAAACTGAAACTGTATTCCCGTTAAACAACTTCCCATTTCCCTGCTCCTCGCAGCCCCCGGCAACTACCATTCTTCTTTCTGTCTCTATGAATGTGACTACTCTAGATACCTTATATACTTTCTTTTTGAGGCTGAATAATATTCCATTATGTGTAGAATTCGCCAGTGAACCCATCTGGGCTGAGTGTTTTCTATTTTGGATGGTAATTAATTATTGATTCAATTTCTTTAATAAATATGGGCCTATTGAAATTGTCTATTTCTCCTTGTGTGAGTTTTGGCAGATTGTGTCTTTCAAGGAATTGGTCAATCAAATTTGTGGGCATGGAGTCGTTCACAGTATTCTTTTAATGTCCATTGGATCTATAGTGATGTCCCCTCTTTAGCTCCTGATATTGGTGATTGTGTCTTCCCTCTTTTTTTTTTTTTTTGTTTGGGTAGAGGCTCATTGATTTTCTTGATCTTTTCAAAGAACTAGCTTTTTATTTCATTGATTTTCTTTATTAATTTCCTGTTTTCAATTTTTTTTTTTTTCATGTGGGTATCTAGTTTTTCCAGCACCATTTGTTGAAAAGACTGTCATTTTCCCCTCTGAATGGTCTTGGCATCCTGTCGAAAATCACTTGACCATACATGTAAGGATGGTAAGGGTTTATTTTGGGGCTGTGTCTTCTATTCCATTGGTCTGTTTGTCTTCATGCCAGTACCACACTATTTTGATTACTGTAGCTTTGTAATCAGGTTTCAAATCAGGAAGTGTGAACCTCCAACTTTGTTCTTCCTTTTAAAGATTTTTGGTTTTTGGCTATTTGGGTTCCCTTGAGATTCCATATGAATTTTAGGATGGATTTTTCTATTTCTGCAAAAAAATGCCGTTGGGATTTTGATAGGGATTGCCTTAAATCTGTAGATTGCTTTGGGTAGCATCGACATCTTAACAATATTAAGTCTTCCAACCCTTGAACATGGGATGTTTTTCCATTACTCATTGTTAGTGTATAGAAATGCTACTGATGTTTGTGTGTTAATTTCATATCCTGAAACTGCTGAATTTCTTTATTAGCTCTAACAGTTTGTGTGTGCGTGCATGTGTGTGTAATCTTTACAGTTTTCTACATAGGAGATCATGTCATCTTTGAACAGAGATAATTTTACTTTTTCCTTTCCAACTTAGATGCCTTTTATCTTTATTTTTTACCTAAATTGTTGCGGCTAGGACTCCCAGTACTGTGTTGAAGTGATGAAAATGGGCATTCTTGCCTTGTTCTTGATCTTAGAGGAAAAACTTTCAGTTTTTCACCATTGAGTATGATATATTAGCTGTGGGCTTCTTGTATATGGCCTTTATTAGGTTGAGGTGGTTTCCTTCTAGTCCTAGTTTGTTAAGGCACACCACTTTTGCCTTTTTCCTTTGTCCTCAATCCACATGGAGACCAGCTGCTCATCTTTCCCCGTGTAATAACCTTCCCTGCACTTTAGGGTGGATGCCTGAAAGAAGGCAGCTTCAGTTTTCCTCCTTCAGAGAATTTGACCACAGCTCTCTTCTCTTTTTCCATTAATTCAATCAGTCATAATGCAAAGCTTTGTTGAGGCTGCATTGTGTGCCAGGCTTGGCATAGCGCTTTCCCATCCACAGGAGGTTGGTTCACGTATGTTGTCTTAATTGTCACAAGAGCTGCCTGAAATAGGAATTATTTCTGCCCCCATATTTAGAAGCAGAGATGCAAAGGGGCTTGCACAAGGCACAGCTGGTTCCCATGACTCCTAGCCCTAATGAATTAACCCCAGGGTGTTTCTGTTTCTGTGTCTAGCCCTTGAGCCATGCTACTGGCCCTGGGCAAGTACCTCCTGTCCCTCCTGATCCAGGTGGAAAGGGCCCAGGACCAATCCTGAAATCTGCTTTCTGTCTTTGCATTCATAGAGGTCCTGGACCCACGTCAAGAAGTGCAAAAACAACATGCGTCCAAATAGGGGCCTGGTGACTCAGCTTTTGCAATGGGAGCAGATCGTCCTTGGAAACCGAATCACAGACGACAAGGATCCTCTCTACTGATCTTCTCCACATCCCAGCGATGGGTGCTGAAGAACTTTGCTCGGGGGCTTTTTGTGGGCGGAGGGCCAGCGTATGTATACTCACGTTGATCTGGAAGAAGAAGGCCTTCACTGCCTGAAGCCTCATGTCAGCCTCCTGCACTGGTTCTTCCCAGGCTCCTTGAACACTCCACATAGCAGGTTCTCTCTGCTCAGGTTCAGTGCGAACCCACATCCCTGTCGTCCCGGACCACCCACACTGCACTCCTCAGGCTGCCCTGGGAAGAGCATCTGGCTGCTGGAGCAGCTGCCCCACAGGCCTCTATGACTTGGACCTTTTGGAGGCTGGGAGGAGCCCTGGAGGTTGCCTGGTTGGTCCATAGGAGAAGTTACAATGCCCATGGGTGGAGATCCTGCAGCCCCAGAGATGCCAGGCCTCAGAGCTCCTGGAGGCTCCAGGAGTGAGGGCACATCAGTGTTCCCTTGACAATCACGTGATACAGATTTTCCCCCCTGCTTCCCACTCATTTCTGCCTGGTCTTGTTCACCAAGGAAAGATTCCCACCTCTCCCACAGCCCACACCTAAGGTTTCTAGAAATTCTTCAGGTCTTAAAGGGAGTTGTTTTCCAAATGCACTTCCCCAAGGCTGGCAGCACCCACAGAACAACCTGGGAATCAGGAGAGAGCACAGACAAGGGGGCTGGTGGGGAATTTAGGATGTCCATCAATGCAGGACCTGCCTTGAGTCCACCCAGCAGCCATTCCCTGCTGCCACCTGGGTTGGTCTGGGGACATAGAGATGAATGTCATCCAGCCTTCTATGACTCTGCAGAGGGATGGAGGGGGTGGGAGGTTCCCCCCAACAGAAGGGCAAGCCTTCTAGGAGGAGTGGGGTTTTGCCAGAGGGAGAAGGGCTTTTCAGACAGCACTGGCTTTAGTCAGGGTCTGGGTTGCAGCAGAGCCTGGGCTGGCTGCAGAGCAAGAGCTCCGTCTGGTTAGGGACCTCCTGGCAGGGCAGAACCACCGCAAAGTTCAAGGACATGGTAGGGAATTAGCTTTGTGTTAGGAAGGGCAGTCTGGTGGCTGTGTGAAGGGATAGTGGAGGTGAGGCTGGAGGCAGGGAGACGAGTAAGGAGCCCGCTGTAAAAATCCAAGGAGAGAGTCTCGCAATCCCTTCCCTGAAGAGGCGCAGCTATTCAAGGACGAGCGTTCCAGGCAGGTGTCACCTCCCGGGCCTTGGTTTGCTCCCAGTATGACGGGCCGGGTCACCGCGGGCTGCCCCACGCGGCTGGCTGGCCGGTGCAGCCCAGGCCGGAGGGGCTGCAGCCACCCCCATCCGAGTCTAGGCCAGGAGTCCCGGACGAGCAGCGGTCGCGCACGAGGCCCCGCCCCGGGCCCGCCCTGGGCGCGGATTGGCTGGGGCGGGGGGCGGGCCTGGCTCTGCCAAGCCCTTTCCCGTTGGTGCCCGCGCGCCGCGAGCCCGGAAGCCGACGAGGACGGCGGCGGAGGCGCCTGGGGCCGGCGGGGGTTGCGGCCCGGTCCTCGACTCGGGGCTCCCGGAGCGGCAGCCATGCATCCCCCGCCCCCAGGCCCGCTGGGCGACTGCCTGCGGGACTGGGAGGATCTGCAGCAGGACTTCCAGAACATCCAGGTGAGCGCTGCCGAGGACGCCCATTGGCCCCGAGCCCCGTCTCTCTGGCTAGGGGGTCAAGGGTCGGGCATTCCTGGTTCAGGCAGCGGGGAGCTCAGGGTCAGGGTCAGGGGCCCTGGTATCGCTTCCGAGGGCGACGAGGCCCTCGGTCCCGGTGTCCCCGGCCAGCCTCTTCAGCGTCCGGCGGCAGCCCCGTTCGCCCGGTGACCCTGGCGGGACCCCACTGCGCTGGGCGACCTTGGCCTCCCGTGAGGGCCTCGGAAAGAGGCCCGACCCCCGACCCCGACCCGGACCCATCCCCTCCCAGGAGGGCGGTTGCCTGAGTCAGGCACGGCGGAGTCCGTCCTTGGTCGATCCCTCAGCGAAGGTGCCGCCCTCGGGCAGCTGTGGGCTGAGTGCTGCGGGGACTGCGGGAGTCAACTTGGATGGGGAAGTGGGGTTCAGGTGAAGTCCTCGCCCGGACTGGGGTGGGGCCGTCCCAGCCGGAGGGACAGCGCCCACCAAGGCCTTCAGAAGGAACAGGGCTTGACAGGTCCATGTGGCTGCCGCTAGGACAGTGAGGGGAGAAGTGGGCGGGGCGGGCCCTGCACGGACACCGGGGGGCCTGGCCGGATTGGAGTCTCTCTGATGCCAGAGGGAAGCCACGGGAGGAATTATCTGGATTGGGCTTGCAGGGGCCGCTGGGGCTGTTCTGTCCAGAGGCCAAGGAGGAGGCTGCTGGCCTCATTCGAGCAGGAGAGGGTGGTGGCTGTGGGTGGGAAGAGGAGGCACATGCTGGGGTCAGAGGGGGTGCGGTGGCCCCTCCTGGGCATGAGAAACAAGACCCAGCCAGAGTAGAGCCCAGGTCAGCTGGTGATTCAGTTAGGCCTTTGCCTCTCCTGGACTGGGTCCAGCCCCATCCTGTCGCCATTGAGACCTAGCTGCCCCCAAGCCCTGCCAAGCCTGCTGCCACGGGTGCCTCTCCCCAGAGGCCTAAGCAGACCCAGGCTCCCCATCTTGCTGCCACTGTCCTGGCCACAGCCCCTGCTTGGCTCCCCCTGTTCTGCCCCTTGCCCGATTTCTAGGCTGTGCTGTTTCCAGATTCGCCCACCAGGGCAAAGTGCTCAGGGAAGCCCTGGGCCAAAGGTGCTGAGGGAGGGGAGGGGAGGGGTGGGGGACTGCCCTTAGAGCCGAAGGCCCAAAGGCTGAAGCTTGATGACCTTTAACCTGCAAGGACAGGGAGGCTCCTGGGATGACAGGAGCTGCCCCTATACTTGCAGGCTGGATAGGCAGCAGGCGCCTGGAGGGCAGGTGCTGGCTTCGGGCAGCCTGATTGGTTCAGCTGAACTGTGGGCCTAGAATCCAGACCCAGAGTGGGACAGACAGCCCCCGTAGGGGTGGGGACAGCCAGCAGATGAGCTGATACTAAGAAAACCTTCAGGGAACTGGTCTGTTTCTTGGGGAGGGTGTGCTCTGGGGGCTTCTGGGCTTGCAGGAAGATACCCAGCTCCTTGCCTGCCTCGGAGGAAGAACAACCTCAGAGAGGTCTCCAGGCAGGCACTGCTAGTTCTGCCTCCTCTCCTGCCGAGACCCTCCCAAGGAGCCCTGGGGAGCTGATGCCCCACGCCCTGCTTGGAGGCTCTGGCTCAGTGGGTCCCCAACCAGCCTGAGCCTTCTCCCTTCCCCCCAGGAGACCCACCGGCTGTACCGCCTGAAGCTGGAGGAGCTGACCAAACTGCAGAACAACTGCACCAGCTCCATCACTCGGCAGAAGAAGCGGATCCAGGAGTTAGCCCTTGTCCTGAAGAAGTTAGGATGCCCTGCTCTGCCCCACCCACCCCTCCCCTCCTTGGGCTGGGTGTGGGCATCTGACCTGGGGTGGGAGAGCTGGTGCTGAGTCATGGGGTGACCCTGGGCCCGCTGGCCTGCGGTTTTGCCCTTCTGCCCTGAGGGTGTCAGGTAGGACGCCTGGGAGCCCGCCTGCTCTGACTCTCTGGCCCCACCTGCAGATGCAAACCCTCCCTCCCAGCAGAGGCCGAGGAGGCTGTGCAGGAGCTGGAGAACCAGATGAAAGAACGCCAAGGACTCTTCTTTGACATGGAGGCTTATTTGCCCAAGAAGAATGGGTGAGGGCCCCCACCCTCCCCCACAACGTCCCAGCTCAGTTCACAGCCACTCCGGGGAGAGAGGCCTGAAGCCGGGTGCTGCTTCTTGGTCATTCCATCAACAAATGTTCCCTGGACCCACTGTGGGCTGAGAAATGAGGCACAGACAGTCCTGATGTCAGGGGAGACAGCACAGCTGACAGTGACAGCTCATCAGGATAGGTGCTTTGTGGGGGAAGTACAGGGAAGGGGGGCACGGTGAGGAAGGAGTGTGGAGGTTGGAAAGAGCTTCCTGGAGTCAGGGATGCTTGGCTGAGTCTTTCTGTACGCCAGACAGACACAGGAAGAGGAGTAGCAGCAGGTGAACGTGAAGGCCGGGAGCAGAACTGCAGCCGGAGCTCAGGTGGGAGACGAGAGGGAGCGAGCAGACCAGGTAGCGCCGGGCTGCAGGGGAGAGGGACAGGCCAAACACGCACTTAGAAAGGTCAGCTGCCATCACTGTCACCGGGGAGGATGGATGGGACTGCCAAAACTTGCAGAAGGGGTGGGTGTGGCAGCAAGAGGGCTGGGAGAGAGCGTGACCCAGAAGGCGAGGGAGGAGGGCGTGTCAGTCTTCAGAGCAGACAGGGTGGGGGTGAGTGTGATGAAGGGGATGAGCACTTCCTGGAAGCCATGACATCGTGGCAAGAATCATTTAGTGCAATTGAGGGGGGGTGTGGTCGGAAGTCGATATTGGGGATGATGGAAGAGAGAAAGGGGGGAGACAGCTAAGTTTGGGCTACTCTTTCTAGAAGCATGGTTGTGAGTGGAAAGAGAAGTTAGGAACCAGTAGCTGGATGGAAATTAGCGCAGGCTTGAGGAGCGTGGGTATTACTTTGTACCTGGCAGAGACCTGAGCACATCCACCTGCTGAGAGGAGGGGCCCACAGCGGGGAAAGGCCCAGAAGAGGGGCTGGAGTGACGGAGGGATGCCCCTGGGGGAGGGCAGCAGAGACATCAGTGGCCAGGCCATTTTCTCAGTGACGTCGCAGGCAGGGCTGGGGGTGAGGGGGACGGGGTGGAGGGTGTCGGAACAAGGATGTGGGGAGCCCGGTGGGAATGTGTCCGCAGCTGGAGGCGGGGCCTGCGTGGGGGGGCTGGGAGGTGCAGGGGCTTTGCCACCTCGCTGGTCTGGGTTGGAGTCCCCACCCTGCCCTGGAATCCCTTTGCAGCCTCAGGCAAGTCCCCTGACCACTCTGAGCCTCTGTCCCCGTGGCTCCAGCGTGAACAAGGGTGCATGTGTTGGGTGCAGCTGCTTAGTAAGTGGCTGTGACTTTACTGGCACTTCTTGGAGTGTCTCTGGTGGAGAAGGGCCGGTGGAGCTTGGTTGGTGGGAGCTGAAGGGGGTGTGG